GGTCCTGGAATGTTATAAACACATGCATCCCAAGCATGCTCCTGCCTCAGGGCCCTTGTGCTCGTTGCTATCCATCCCTATAGCTTTTTGCAAGCAGACAACATGATAGAAAGCCCCCTCCACCAACTACCGCTATGATTTCAATGTCACCACAAAGACTTCAATTTCGTTCTGTCATCAATAAAACCTCATTCCCTCATTCCAATGTCACCTTCCCAATGAAGCCTTCCCTCACTTACCTCCTCTCTCTTCCCCCTTCTTTCTTTTACTTAGACCTTGGTGTCTGTTTCCAGTACTCTGAGCACTTTGTGGTGGTCTGTCTCTTCCCACCAGATTCCGTGATCTCTGGAATTTGCTTGTTGAAGGTTCCCCAGCTCTGAGAAGAGGGCAGGGCACCCAGCAGAGCTCAACAAATACCAGTGAACCCAAAACTCCATTAGAGTATATGGGCATTGTCCCCACAAGAGAGAGTCTGGAGAACATGTATCAGAGTTTCAGAGGGCTCTCTATCACTTTCAAGTGTGCCCCGGCTCTTCCACTTGGGGTTATGCTGGCAAGTCGATTTGTCTACTAAAGGAGCAGACAGCTCTGCTTAGCCAGTTGGCCCTATGGTTGGTCTGTAAGATTAGAATGTATAATTGTTCTCCATAGAGTTAATAGGCAGGATCTGGGCATTTGGATCAGTCTCTGTGCATGGGTTATGATGAGTCTTCTGGTTAATCCATTTAGTTATGGCAAGAGGTAGCCAGGCTTTGTGATGACTTCTTTGTAAACTGTGCTCCCTAGATCCCGATTCCTTCCCACCACCCAGAAAGCAAGCTCCAGCTTTTGTGATTTCTGCTGTCTCATGCCTCGTTTCTCACCAGTTAGTGTGGAAACTTCCCAAGGGCAAAAGACCAATTTTTTTTTTTTTTTTATAACCAGGTATACTCTAAAGGAGATACTTACCTGGTTTCCATTCCGCCACCTACTGGCTATATGATCAGAAACAAATAGTCTAACCTCTGTGTTTGTGGCAATTTAAAAGAGTCTGGGAAGGAAGAACAAGACCTTCCTTGTATTGTCAGGAGGATGGGAGAGGAGGATGCCTAGGAGGGTTTGGCCAGGTAGGATGGAGAGTTCAGTGAAGTGGGGGACTTTAACTCAGCCGCCCCACAGAGACTGAGTGTTTGGGGGTCAGGAGAAGTGAGTCAAGTGCCCTCTCAGACAGGAGGGTTCCCAGCAGCCTTATTCTGATCCAAGCTGATGAGGGTGGTCTAGCCTGACAAGTTGCCCATCTCTGCCCTTGTAGGCTTTGTCTCAGAAGAGAGAACACGGAACTGTGCTGTGGGACAGTACTGAAGTGCAGACACATGGAGTGCTCTGAGGAGAGAGGAAGGATGGAGGAGACAGGTAAATCAAGGGCTCAGAGTCACCTCTTCCTGGGTGACTTCCTGCCACTGCAGGACCTTGAGGATGGGCAGCTGGGATCCTGCCTTCCTCCTTCCCTCCCTTTTCCCTACATCCCAGGGAATCCTGGCAGTTTAGTTGGGTGGAGGTCAGAGCTGTGGCTCCACGGGCCTGCACAGTTGCGCCCCATTGCACACACCCTCTAGTGGCTACAAGGTGTGCCAACCACTAAGTCGGATGGGTCCTGAGAAGGAGCAGGCCTTCAGCAGAGTGCAAATCTAAGGCTTCTTCTCACTTAACTTTGGCAGCTGCCCCTACTGTGATTCCTATTCCCACTTTATAGCGGATAGATGACCCACACTTATCAAGTGGAGAAGTACCGTAGCATTGGTCCTGAACTCAGGCTACCAGACTCTGGTTGCAGTGAGGGGGGTCCTTCCTAGGCACTGTCCCCATGCTACATCTCCCACTGAGTAAGTGCCAAGAAGCTAAATTTTGCTTACGTTAGCAGCCCTCTTACTTATTCCTTTATTTGATCATTTATTTAGTGTGTGTTTACGGTATATGTGTTGTGGGTGTGTACATGTGTGAGACCAGAGGTTGACACTGGGTATCTTCTTGATGCCTCTCCTTATTTCTTTGAGACAGGATCTGTCACTGAAGTTAGAGCTCATCCATTCAGCCAGGCTGGCTGGTCAGAGAGCTCCAGATATCTGCCTCTGCCCGAATCTCCCCATGTCTGGGCAGCAGACCAGCACCGCTGTGCCTGGTTTTTTACATAGACCAGTGGGCATCCAAATTTAGGCCATCATGGCAAGTACTTTAGTGATAAGCCATCTCTCTAGTCCCTGGTTTGAGGTAGCAGGCTTCTTGAAGTCCTGCTTTAGTCTCTCCTGGCCTGGTATACTTCAAGGACATTGTAGGAAGAGATGTTCGTGCTAGGAGGAAGGGGCAGGAGAGACAAAAGCCTCAGCTCATATACTTCTCCAGGTCTTATGCAGCCCCAGGCTGGCTTCCAGTTCTATGTGTAGGCCAGGATAGTCCTGAACTCCTGATCCACCTCCTAAGTGCTGGAGCTAATGGGCGTGCACAATCCTGTAGGGCTTTCTTTGTATTTCACGAGCCACCAATTTCATGGATGAGAAAGAGACAGACCAAAAGGCAAGTTCGTGTGGATGCTGCTGGTCCACTTGGGTTGTGTACCCTTATTAGTAAACACTATTTTCTATAATCTTCGCTCTGTGAGGCAAAAAATCATCTCCAGCATGCTTAAAAAAGAAACAGTGGTCAGGACTCTTCCTATTTCACCTTGGTCAAAACAGTAAGGGCTGGGCGAGACAGTCGGCCCTCGAAGCACAGGAGTACCTGACTCCAGGTAAGGCTTGCATGCAAGGCCCTTCCCCCTCTCCCCCAGTGCACACCCAGACCTGGCTCTGGGCTTGCACGCCGCGGTCACGACACCAGCCCATTTCAGGGGTATCCTAATAGGAGGGGGGGAATCACAAGTCCGCACCCCATCCACTGCACCCCGCCTCCCTCAGGGAGCGGCATCTAGCCCTAAGCCAATGAGAGTAGCGGAATTTCTTTCATTGAGCTCCCGGCCCCACTCCTGCCCGGAAGGGGGCGTGGCGCTGCGCCGGGGGTGGGGCCGCGGCTCGCCAGGGGAGGGCGGGGCCGGCCCCGCGGCTGAGCCAATCGGCGCCACGCCCGGGAGGGGGAGGGGGAACCAGGCCTTTTTTCCCCTCCGCGCGGGACCAATCCGGACTTTACAAGCTTGAACTTTTGCCACCCTCGGACTAGCTAGCACGCCCGAGGAGGTACCCCGCCGCGCCGGCTCCAGGGCAGGAGCGGCCTTAACCCTTCCCGTGCCAGGCCCCGCAAGTCTGTCCCCCAACTCGCCCCTGTTTTCATAGTGGAACATAGCTGGGGAAAGCACGCCCCTTCATCCACATCCCTCTCGAAGGGACAGAAAGTAAATCCAAGAAGGGAAAAGGAAGCGCCCGGCCTTGAGGGGGCCCTGGGACGCCCGACAGCCTGGCGGGATAGCCTAGGCGACCGAAAGGAGACTTCCAAGAGCAAGCGCACTCCCGCCTCTACCCCACCCAGTCCAAGTCCCTACCTCCGGCTATCTGGAGCTCCCTCGGTCTAAGTGTTCTCTGCCCCGGTGTAGCCTGTAGTGAGACCCCTAGTTCTGAGGAGGAGGTACGTGGAGCCTTCGTGGGTCACAGAAGATCCCGCTACCCCAACTCGGCCGCCCTCCTAGTTCCCCAGAGACGCAGGGCAGGAAGACGCGCACACACGCCCATTTTTATTAGCCCGCGCTGAGGCTGGGGGTTTGGACCGACTCTAAAGTGCAATGAGTGTTTGCAAGTTTGTGCACAAGCCAGGGAGAGGCAAAGGGCCGCCTTGGAGTCCGGGTCGCTGTGGGTTCACCGAGCAGAGCTGGGTAGCAGGGTGTGTGTGTGTTTGCTTGCGCGTGTGCGGGATCGCTCGTATCCGTGCCCAAGGCGCGACGTGAGCTACAGAGCGAGTCGCGGACGCTGTAAGCCTCGGGGCGGGGGTGCTGGGGCGGGAGAGGGGCGGGGGCCTGGGTTCGTCCCGCCCCGGGAACCAGCCCCCTCGGAGCCTCGGGCTCAGCAATGGGACGTGTTCTCCTTTAAGAGTTAAGAAACTTGAAACCTTGTTTGCGCAACAATCAGCGCCGCGGAGCCGCCAAAGTGTCTAGACTGGCATATGATGGGAGGCAGCCAATGACTCCGCGGCGCTCCTCCGGGGGCCCTCAGTGTGCGTTTGAGGAGAACAAAAAAGAGAGAGGGCGCCGAGCGGGGGAGCGAGCGAGGGAGCCGAGCCCAGAGAAAGAGCCGCCGGGCGCTGCCTCGCCAAACCTCGCTGGGACCGCGGGGCCACCGGGAGGCACTTTGGTGGAGGGGGGGAGGGGGGGCGACCTCGGCAGCCGCGGCGCCCGGAGCGACCCAGCGCAGCGTGGGGCGGGCTGCGACCTCTGCCTCGGTGGATTGCATTTTTAATTAAGGATTCCTAGCAGCTCTTGGGATTTTTTTTTACGGCTTCCACTCATGTGTTGACACTCGCGTTCAGGAGAGATTTGCCCCAAGTGCACCGAGCGCCCGGGACCTGAGACGGAGTTGCTTTTCGTGCGTGCAAATCCAAGCATTTGGGGTTTTGTTTGGGATATTTTTCTTGCTTTGCTTTTATTTTTATTTAACTTTATTTCATTGCAGGGATCTGGGAGTTATCCACAAGCCTGAGTTTCGGATCCTGCAGGGAAAGCCCATGCAGCGCAGCACTTGGCTCTTGAAGGCAGAGTTGTGCAGACACATTTGGGGGTACGACGCAAGCGCTTTGTGCTCGTGTACCAGCCGCGCAACTTTTGAAGGCTCGCCGGCCCATGCGGGGTGTTTCTAGCATCGCTTCGCCCGCGACTCCCCTAAGGCTCCAGGGCGGCTGGAGTTGAGCAGTCCCGGCCCACCGCGGTCCATGTAGCCCGCTGGTCCCGCGCGGACTGCGGCTCGTCGCGCGCGTGTTCCCGGCCCTGCGCGAGCTCCCTCATGTTGCAGCCCTGCGGTGCCCCTTCGACGACAGGCTGTGCGCGGTCTGCACGGCGCCCCGCGGGAGAGCTTCATGTGGGGCTGCGGCCCGCGCAGCCGGCGCCTCGTTGAGGGAACGGACCCCTAGTAATCGGAGACCGCCTCCCCTCCCACCACCCCAGGCGCCAAAGGATATCGTATGTTCAGGTCTAAACGCTCGGGGCTGGTGCGGCGACTTTGGCGAAGTCGTGTGGTCCCTGATCGGGAGGAAGGCAGCGGCGGCGGCGGTGGTGGTGGCGATGAGGATGGGAGCCTGGGCAGCCGAGCTGAGCCTGCCCTGCGGGCACGAGAGGGCGGAGGCTGCGGCCGCTCTGAAGTCCGCTCGGTAGCCCCGCGGCGGCCCCGGGACGCGGTGGGACCGCGAGGCGCCCCAATCGCGGGCAGGCGCCGGCGCACTGGGGGTCCCCCGAGGCCGGTATCGGAGCCGGGGGTCGGAGCTGAGGGCTCCCTGCTGGATGTGGCGGAGCCTGGAGGCCCGAGCTGGCTGCCTGAGAGTGACTGCGAGACGGTGACTTGCTGTCTCTTCTCCGAGCGGGACGCTGCGGGCGCGCCCCGGGACGCCGGCGATCCCCAAGCCGGGCTGTCTCTGGAGCCTGAGGAGGCTGGCGGGCCTCGGAGTCGTGAAGCCCGCTCGAGGCTGCTGCTTCTGGAGCAGGAGCTCAAGACGGTCACGTACTCGCTGCTCAAGCGACTCAAGGAGCGTTCGCTGGACACACTGCTGGAGGCGGTGGAGTCCCGCGGCGGCGTGCCGGGCGGTTGTGTGCTGGTGCCGCGCGCGGATCTCCATCTGGGCGGCCAGCCCGCGCCACCGCAGCTGCTGCTCGGCCGCCTTTTTCGCTGGCCAGACCTGCAGCACGCAGTGGAGCTGAAACCCCTGTGCGGCTGCCACAGCTTCGCCGCCGCCGCTGACGGACCCACGGTGTGTTGCAACCCCTACCACTTCAGCCGGCTCTGCGGGCCAGGTGAGCGCGCGCGCACGGGGTCGCCTCGACCTACGCCTTCATCTTCTGATCCTTTTCTGTGGCCACCTCTTTGTGGATGCTCTCGGGATACTCCCTGGTACTGGGAGTCTGCAGTGGGTTGAGGAAAGCTGAGGGGTAGGTGTCTGCAACTTCAAATGGTAACTTCACTTGTAGCGCTAGCAAATTTAGAAAAGGGCATGTTCGGGTTTTCTATATCCGGCTTCTGGGACTTAAAGAAGATTGCAGCTTTGTGAAACGGGATAGCAAGCCATGGAGAGGCCAAAGGAGTAGGCGACACCTCCCGTTTAGGGATTCACCCCAGTTGGTTGCCAGCTTCTAGCATTTGTGTGCGTATTCCCATACCCCGTCCGTGCATCTAGGTAGATATGACTGTGAAATTGTTTGCGGGCAAATCGTGCCTAGCGTGAAAAGTGTTTGCAAAATGTTTTACTTGTTCCTTTCTATGCTCTGAGCCCATTTTCTGCAGGGCAGTCTCTCTTGTTTCCAACATCCTTTGGGGGTAGAACGCCAGGCTCCTTCATCGGTTTAGCGCTTATAATTCTTGCTTTCAGCTTCCCTCTAGAGTTGAGGGTCCTAAGGCGTGAGTCAGAGGCTTCTAGCTCTTTTGTTACTAGCCCCTTTGTTCTCCTGGGATCTTACACACACCCTTGCTTACCTAGGCAGGCTCAGGTGCAGGAGCAGAGGTGAGGACAGATGAAGGCCCCTGATGGGCCCGGAGCTTACACACACACACACACACACACACGTTTTTTTGTACCATGAGAAACACTCCTTTTAGGTATAGTTCAACACATTCAAGGCATCGGAGTTTTTGCTGGGGAGAATGGGACAGGTAGTTACCGGCTCTGGTCAGGTCTCAGGTCTTCCTGACTCAGTGTGGAAAGAAAATATGAGTTCAGGAAGCTTGGCTTCTCCCCTGTGTATAGATGAGGGCCGAGTGGCATGAAGAGAAAGAAAGTGGCCCTCCTGTTATTGAGATTCCTGACATGTGTCCCTCATGGCCTTTCCTTCCAGGCTCAGTGTAGAGACTTTGGGTAGTCGTGGCTTTCTGTGCCTGGAGGCTAACTGACAGCCTCCCCTGGGAGGAAACTGCAGTTTCTGTCTCTGGGGGAAGGATTCTATTTGTGCTGGTATTGCCTCCTCTCAGTTTTTTTCCTAGTAGGAGATGAATGGTGGGGCTCACTATACTCTTCCTTAAGACCATACCTAATGGATTACTTCCCCCTGTGGCTAAATCGCAGTATTAACAAGTTTGCTGAGCCTTTACACTGTATCAGGTACTTTGTGAGGGGGGGAAAGCAGGGGGGGGGAGGAGAGAGAGAGAGACAGAGAGAGAGAGAGACAGAGAGAGAGAGAGAGAG